AGCTCATTCTCCTCACTTTGAGAACCAGGTCCCCCCTGACACAGACCCTTGGCCAGTTTCTTAGCAACAAGCAGAAAACATTAGACCCCCACCCTGCGCCAAAGAGGAAATGTGTTCATTGCTGTTGATTTGTCAGCAGGATAACGCCTAAACTACTGAACTGATTTTATTGAAACATGGTTGAAGGACGGGACATCGGCCAAGAAAGAGTCCATACCCTTTGTGTGGATCCAGGAATTGTTTATCACTTTCTTTAACGTTGTTAGGTGGGGATTTTTCACTGATTTCATGGATCCTGAATGATCAGGCATATAACGGCGTCTGATATCTGTTTGTGTTCAATTTGTTGTGTTGTGCTCATTGTTTGGGAGATTACACAAAAACTTGGTGGAAGGATTCGGTATAGATCAGAGAAAAACCCACTATCTGGATCAAAAGAATTCCTATTGTGCTTCACCTAATCCCAATGACATCACATATGGATCTAAAAGACTTACAAAACATACCATTCAACAGCCAAAGTCTCTTGATTGAAAAGACTTTTAGTGCAGTGACACTAACTCCGGTTAAACCTGTTATTTTCCTACTGTTTACTGGGTGCGTGTTTTTTCACTCATCATTAAAAAAACATCTCTAACTGAAAAACATGAGCGAATGTGTGAACTGGTAAATTGCTCTCGGAGTTTATTGCCTGTATGCAAATGTTAAGATATCGCTTAAGAAAAACAAAAAGCCTGGGCTTTCTGCCACTGGTTCACATTTTCAAATGCACATTAATAATTTTGTCGGGGAGAGCACTTCAAAGCTCCGGTTTGTTTATTTGCACACGGACAACAACAAACTAATCCTGGAGACTTGAGAGCAAAGAACCGTTAAAACACACACACACACACATAACACTGTCTTTCTTTGCTGGTGAGTCACCGAGAGGAGAGGTTCAAAAGTGGAGGCAGCACTTATTATCATTCACTTTGCTTTGGTCATGGATGCTCATCCTGCAGCAGACAGACCCTGACCCGAGTCACGTCTCAGTGTTTTTATCCACACTTCCTCCTTCATGTTAGCTGGCTTTGATCCAAGATAATTGGGCTGTGCAGCAGATACAGCTCCAACACATCTTAGTCTCTCTTAACAGAGGAATTTAAAAATGATGGAGTTAACAGGCATTTTTTGAAGTTTTGAAAAATACATCATGCTGTCTAATTTCAAACTCCTCAGTGAAGCAGCAGAAACTTGGCTGTTAAAAATATTCTACGTCTCTGTTTGTTTTTGTCCACATATGTTTTTGATATAGGAAATATCTGGAAATAATTTTGACAATAGTGGGAGCACTCAAAGGTAGCGACAGGTGGTAACCATGGAAACCATAGACTAAATCCTGGTGACTCCAGACTACACTCTATATAAAGATGGAATCCACACTTCTTGCCGTCTTGTACATTTGGAGCAAGAGTCAGTCTCAGCTGTCAATCATGACGTTCTAATCCTGTTTATATGTCATCAGATAATCAATCAAAACCAAACTTATAAGAAAAATCAACACTTGAACATCGGTGTGATAAGAACCACATAAAATGACAGAATCCATCTTTGTCATTCACTTTGACTTTTTAGTTTGGTCCATGTGCCCACAAGGAGGAAGCAGGATTTATGACCTATACTGCAGCAGGCCAACAGGTGGCGATCTAGTTGCTTTGGGTTCACTTTTGAGAAGCCGTCATCGTCGTCAGTCTTTAAATTCAGTCCATGGTGCACATCAACACCTTCCAGTCTGCCCAGTATTTCACCTCTGTGTTGATCATTAAATGTTACTGTTACACTTTCACTTTTGTTTTAAGTGGAGACAAGGTTTCTTCACATGCAGAGTGTCACAAAGTGTTGAGCATTGTACTGAATTCCATTTTCTACTCAGAGTTCTTTGATTCTTTCAAGGGTAATGTTTTTTGCCCACAACATTATATATTTCAGATAATATCCTCAAACGCTCTGCATCAACATCCTTTAACCTTCACTACATATTCACTTTTAAAACAGCTGCTGAACATTGTTTAATCTATTGAGGGATTTAAAATATAACTCCATAACTCCTGACAGAGAAAACTGTATCTTAAAGAGTGACCCAAAATGTATGAAAGTGCACAACTAGATCTCTTTCATTTTCATAACCATGGTCCTTGTGGGATTTACACAGGTTTTTACTGAGTATTTGATCCCATTTCCTTCAGTCACTTCTTCTGTGGAACAGTTTTCCACTGCGGCTGTGCTCCATATCACATAAACACACCAGCCAAAGGCCTATTTTCTGTTTCAGGATTAGTCAGCTCGCCTTCTGCAAACTCTGCCAAGGACTGCAAGTCTATATTTTGCACAGGCTGAAAAACAATGCTTTTTCCTTTCTTTCTATTTTTTCTAAACATGGCTTCTGGAGGGAGACATCCTGCTCGGTGAAAGTGGCCGTGGACAAGATAGGAACACTTTAAAACATGAATTATAGCTTACAGACAACTGTGCAATACAGTCTGACATTTACAGTATGGGTTGTTTTTCTGTGATTTTGCTTCTGAAATTCAAAATCACACAGCTACATTTTCTGTTGCAGTAAATATCGGCTGGGGTTTTTTCTCTTGTGTTGTAAATGATATCTGCAGTCATTACCAGACTGTTTTATAATCAAGAAAACACACCTTCTCTCAAACTCTTTCACATTTGCATGCGCTAGCATAATGAGGAACCAAGATCACAAGATGACACCACAGTATCGTGATAAACACATTAACAAAATGTGTTTATGGTAATTATTCCAAAGGTGTCCGCACACAAACATTTCATTACCGCTCTGGTGGCGTGTTGTTGTGAATATCCTGTATCTGCACCTTTTAAATAACACTGTCATCAACACACAATGGTGAATCATATGTACTAAGGTGTTGTGCAGCCAGGGATCAGAGCACTAGATGATCAGGCTCAACCAGCTTGACAGATTCACTGTGTCAGTTAAGACAGAGGGAACTCTCCTAACTATTTAAACAACACTGGAAAAACTCAGTAGAGTACACGTATTCCTCCAAGGCCCACCAGTCACCTTAAATTCATTCACCAAATTTCACAAACTCGTAGATTATGAAATGTAAATAATCTCCTAAATGTGCCTGATTTGTTTTCACCATGAATTATTCCCTGTGAAAACAGTGGGAATGTTGAAAACAGAAACGCTTCCTGGATCTTATCCTTGATCCAAATCTGTGCCAAAGTTTATCGGCCAAATCCTTCCACCAAGTTATGGCAACATGTTATGTTATATAATCAAACGGACAAAACAACCAAACAAACGGGTGAAAACATAACCTCCCTGCTGGAGGTATATCCAGCCACCTCCTGAATGAATAACCTACCTTCTTCTACCTCTCTGTTGATTCCAGCTTTGTTTTTCACCTGCTTCTCCTTTCTGCTTCCTCCTTGTGAAATTTATCTCGTTTCCTCAAGGAGATTTATCATGTTGACCAACTGTGCTCCAACGTAAACAGACACGCCTGTTTCTTAACCAATCAAATGGAATGTGAGATGTTTGTCGGCAGTGTTGCATAGACCAGTCAAACCCAGAGTAAATATTTCTCTCTGGCTGCTGTCCTCCTGCTGTGAAGGCTGAAATTTGGATTTCTAAATTCCTGTAAACGTGGCAAATGGGCTGCCTCCCCGCACATTTCGACACATCAAGCCACGTCCTAATCTTTCCACGCCATGCGACAAGACGGCCTGTATCTCTCCGACGCATGCATGACAATTTGGCAGCCTCACTTCTGAGGTGCCCACTTTGTCCAGACAGAGCACAGAGGCTCCGTTGTCCCACCGCAAGGGCCCAGTGGCAGACTGTGAATCAGTAATAAGCTCAAACACAATGACAGGTTTCTCTGAGATGGAGCCGAGGCTTTAAGGCAGCGGAGGATTCAGTCCCTCGTTTAACGAGTGATCCTCTCCTAACTGACTGTCCTGTGATTGATGCGGAGTTACAGTACATGAGCGAGTCACTCCAGTGTCATACAGTACACTGCAGGCCATTCATAATCTGAAATAAGGACCTCGAGACCAGAAACTATGAAGACAGGCAGATTGGAGCTATTTTCTATTAGTTGTTTTGTTCTGGCAAGAAATCATATTAAAGCTGATGGTACCAAACAATTATAGAATAATGAATAACAGAAATGATTGTATCTATATATAGTTGGGGGCCATTTGTTTGTTCATCTTCTGTCAGAGAGTATGATTAAAAGATTGATACCACTCTCTTATCTGTTAGCTTAGTTTAGCACAAACACTGGATACAAGCAAGATTTAACAAGCAAGATATACCTTTGGAGTTAAAGCGCTTTTGAGGCGCTGGTTCAGGTGGATAATTGTCACCCAAGGGCAGAACCAGGCTAGTTCCCAATTCTCCAGTTTTTGTGCCATGTTAAGCTAGAGCTTCACATTTTATGAAAAGATCTGAAACACAAAGAGAGTCTAATCATCTAACTCCCCAACAGAAAGCAAATAAACAATACAAACGTTTGCTTAAAAGCTAACATGAGAATATTGCCGTGCTCAGAATTTCTGGCCTCCGAATCGAAAGTTGCAGCTTTTACTCTTTGTGAGCACTTCTGTCATTAAATAGGTTGTACAAAAAGTACAATTACTGTCTGTGGACGTTTTACCACAGTGCTAGTATGTGTGAAATGCCGCGTAATGCGTAATTATAAACAGTTTTGCTACAATGGTCAGCTGTGAGATTGGAACACCATCAACTCAGGTTATTCGGGTGTAACGTCATTCCGAGGGCCCAGCTCCGAGGTGTATAATTAAAGTCTAGTCGCGCCGCTGTGATGCAATTAGTCCACGAATGCAGCCAATTTAGGATTTGGCCCCTAAACTGAGACACAGCTTGTCTCTGCAGGCTGCACCTTTAAATCTAAACCACACATGGCTCCACTTTTAATTGAAAAACACTGATCAGTGCAGCTTTAATATCACATTCAGCTGTCACCATCATCACCCTCCTATAAGCAGAGTGGGCTCCATTTTCCACCATCATCATCATCAACTTCTTCATCATCCTAGTGCACAGCCCTCTCTGCGCCCGCGTGCGCCGCCTGTCCACAATTGATTTTTTTTCTTTCTCTCTCCATCACGCGGAAGTCGGTGACGCACTATCGCGCACAGCTGCAGCTGCTCAGTGGAATAAACACGGCGTCGTCACTCGGCGTCAGACAGCGGCGAGAGCCGGTGAGCGTGTCCCAGTGTGTCGGTACTGTCCGCGGGAACATGGAGCAGCTTTCGGTCCTCTGCAGCGGTGCGTCCGTCCACACCGGGGCTCCAGTGTCTCCGCCGCGCCGCTCGCTCCATTGAGTCCAATCGGAGGCGGCTGGTGGTCGGACGGACAGACAGAGGGACTGACGAAGGGACAGACTGACTGACCGACCGTGCGTCTGGACTGAACCTGCGTGACAATTTGTTTGTTCCCCCCATTGTTAGAGTCGACGGTGGAGAGTCGCAGACCGCAGCCTGTGGTGATTCAAGGTATGGAAATTCATTTTTGGTGCAGCAAAAAACCTCCAGCAACGCGCGCGCGTGTGTGTGCGTGCTCGTGTTTCAATGATGTGTTTGTCAGTGACTGTGTGTGGTAGTTTGCTCCTCAGTCACTTTGCAGTGATGGGGCACTATGGGTCATGATGATGATCCAGCCTGTTATGATGCTCACAATGAGATATCTCCCCCTCTGCTGCTCCAGGATGTTTTCTCCTGATGTCAGCAGCTGATCCATCACCTCTGATTGTATCACACTGGATCAATATTGATTGGGATGTTAATGGTGAAATGTGCACGGTGCAGACTCCTCAAACTGGCTTTGTCCCACAGATTTCCATGTTTGGCTTCAGGTGGGAGGTGCACTGTCCTGCAGATGTTCCCTGATCTTGAATCATAAATCCAGGCGGAGAAGCCTACATAGCCTCACTGCTACAACCAGAGCCCGACTGATATATTGTTTGGCCGATATCAGCCTTTCACATGACATATCGATTTGCCGATACCTTGATATGATTTTTGGAGCATTGGACCAGATTGCGAATAAGATGATTATTTGTCATCTTCACTTGCGTACCTTAGCGCCAACGCATGTTTCGGCTTTTAATCACAAGTCACCCTCTTTGAAGACAGGCCCACCACAGGCTGACCCGCTATCTTTGAGTTTGTAGAGAAAACAATGCAGAATAAAACATTTCAACAACAAATATTTTGTGGTATTTGAATGTTAATTGGTTAAACTGTAAAAAGTCAATACTCGCTTACATTTCTTTGTTATTACGGTTTGTTACAGACCTCGCGAGAATAATTTTCACTTTTTAAATATTTATCAGCATCTGCCCCAAAGATCCATATCAGTCAGACTCTCAACAATTTTAACAGCATTTCCACCCTGATCATCAGCTGATTAGCAACACAACACTTGTATGAAACAGGGAAGTGCTGCTTTTCCCAATATAGTGTTGTTGTTGTCATTGTTAAGATGGCTCTCACATTACACTGTCTCCTATAGCTGCAGGATCAGCTGTCCTTCTCTTTGTTGTAGCCTCCTTTACACCCAGGCCTGTTGTGTGTCATCATACCTGCTTGAGTACTTTGCATGTGCAGTTTTTTCTACGTGTTTTTCAAAGATGCAAAGCGTGCGTGTTCACTTGTATGTGTGAAATGTTCCACTTCTTAAGTCCTTCTTGCTTAGGTATTTGGTGTGTCACTGGGTGTGTAAACCTCTCGCTCATCTTCATTTGGAGGCAGCAGTTCCTGTCTTCATGTAAAACACGGCTTCTTATAATACCACATGCATGATGATGATGATGCTGGCTTTGCCGTGGTGCTCAGCTGTTGGGGCGAGATGAAGAAGCAGCTGCGTCTGTCTGTGCATGTTACATCACTGTAGCCTTTAGTTATGTCTTACCAGTGTTGCAGAATGAGGGCTTGTTGCGATAAGGACCCTCATTGTGTTGCTGGTATCTGTGGAGAGTGCATGCATTAACTTGCAAATAACACAATGCATATTCTCTTCTGCTGTCCTGCTGTGTAACTAATCCTGCCTCCTCACATGGGATTACTGCGTATGCTTTCCTTCTTCTCCACACAAACACTGAAGGTGTCAGCCGAGTGTTTGAGCAGTAGCGACGGACGGTGGCCTTTCTGTGGGCCAGCAGTCTGAGCTGTAATCTTGGTTTCGTACTTGAGCGGAACAAATGCAAAATCTTGGCTTTGGGTTAAAAAAAAAAAAGAAGGAATTGTTCAATGATTTCTTAATCTACTGTAGCAGGAAATATAAAAATGTGAGGCTTATGTGCCACTTTCAAGTCAACAGTTTTCCTGTAGTGAGTGTGCAGATTTTATATTAGTTGAATTATATAGAATGTTCTGGGTTGAATTGGAAACATAAGTAAGAGACCATATTAAGTCATTGTTGCACTGCAGTGTGTTGACTTGTTAAGATGGAAAGAAAAAGTGGCAAGGTATCTTTTTTTCTTTTTTCACATTACAGCACCACAACCTGACGTTTAAAAGATTTCTGATTGACGATTGCACAGACTCGGGAACTTGCGTGGTTAAACCTGATTTCATAATACAAACAAACGCGTTTGTTGTTGTGTAATTTTTTAGCTGCAACAGGACGCATTAAACAAGCACTCATCACTCATACTCCTCCTTTTCTATTGTCAACCTGGTACGGGAGACAAAAGTCTTTTTTATGATGTTGGCAGCCATTGTTTGGTTGGAAACACAAGCACTCAACATCTGGTTGGTGCTGCTTCCCAGTCAGCTCTCTCTCATTGGCTATCTCGGTATCAAACATGTTTGATATTGATTATTTGAAATCGGGGAGGTTTCAATTCATTTAGTGACGTTAAACAAAATAAGAGGTGTGAAAGCTGAACAAGAGAGCTGGTCTCAGTTCGACCAATTGCAGGAAGTGGAGACAATACAAAACAGTAGATGAAGAAAAAGAAGCGGCTCACAGAATTGCTTGAAGTCTTTGTCTTTCTCAGTCAAATAAAAAGATTACTTTTTCAGTACACTTAATCCAAAAAGGTCAGTGAACACAACTGACAACGCACCGACATCAGACACACGGCCTCCACAAACCACTCAAAGTTAAGTATGGGTAGAGGCCACCCTCATAGATGATGTCGACAGGACTCATATCACAGGAAGTTCTTTCGTTTACGCCCTACGTTGTACTGAGAAATCTGCCGCATTACCCTCCAGTGTGCAGCAGACAGCACTTGGTATTTTCAGTAGAAAGTCCTTTGCTTGCCGTCTGATCACGTCACACACTTAAAACCGTCTGCTCCTCTCCCTCTGCTTTCCTTTCCCCGTCCTGGTCTTCCTTCATGACCGGCTGACTCCCTCGCTGACTATGAGGGATTTTGCCGGTAGCAACAAGCAATCTGCCGTTATGAGAAATGTCATCTCTCCCAGAGTCTGAGCTGTCACCGGACTATGAAGTCGTCAGTTGTCCTGACAGGAGCGGCTACCGGAAGAAATGACAAAGTAAAGCTTTAATCATGATTCCAGGGAGGGAGAGGGCGACTGAGACCAGACTCTGTTAAGCTGCTAAAGCTGCCAGCGAAGGAGCCTGCGTTCTTAATGAACTGGGCCATTGTGCACTTGCAAATGAACTCATACTTTGTGTCTTCAGAGATGAGTTCTGAGGAGACTCAATTGTGGGCGAAGAAAATGGAATCAAAGTATCTGAAGGCTCTGATAGTAGAGTTGCGGCAATTAACTGTCGTTATTGTTTGACACGATCGTCTGTGATTGTGAAAATTTGTATTTTACACAATGGAACAGAGGACGTGTTTGACAGCATTTATCTCTTGTGAAACATCTTGACTTGTGTAGGAGGTTTTTCATTACTGCTTTACATCTACAGCTGTTCTTACGCATCACACACTACATGTTTCAAATATGTTTTATTATAATCTTACCATATGGCTTTTTGGTGCCTCCTTATTATGGAATAATCATTTAACAGGTTTTATTTCGGCGCATATCTGCTAACGTGAATACAGATACTGTGGAAGGCTCACATCTGCAGATTAAAAGAAGAATGTTTTATGGGTCAACCAATAAATCGTTTGGCTCTCATTTTTATGTGTAGACGAATTTTACAAACCTAACAGCCTTAAATCAGTAAAGCCCCTGTCATTAGACAGATTTTGAAAAAACGTGTAGGTGATACTGGAGTGTGTTCCAAAAATGGGTTACAGCTGACGTTTATTTTCATCATCATTTAATATTGTCCTTTGTTTGATGTGAAAAAAGGGCGTCATGTTTACCAGAACCCAACTTGATGTGTTCAAATGTCTTGTTTTATCCAACCCAGACCTCAAAATAACAAATTTAGGACTATAGAAGAAAAAAGAATAAAAGAAAAACAAAAAGAAGAACAACATTTCTTTAAAAATGAACTGAATCTTCTTCTATAGTGTACTTCCCCTACATTGACTCAACAGTGTTGGGGGATATGATAGTGTTCTTGCTAACCACCACACTTGTGATCATTTCTCAGCAGAATGATTTTACATATTTAAATTTTTGATGTCAGTATGTTGTTCTGTGACTCACGGTGCATCTTCTTGTCTGCTGTTTACTCCTGTGTCCTCACACTGGTGGTTGATCCTTAAAATACCATTGACTGTGTGCTGCAACAAAACGACAGAAATCAGACCAAACGTGTATCCTGTCCTGTTTTGACAGCAGTACGTACACATGCATTATTCAGGATGTGGATTTTTCTGGACTCCTGTGACTGTGAGGAGGCTGTCAGTCATCACCTCTATTTACCAGACGTCTACTTTTGTAACTTTCACTTTTAATTGATCTTCTGCTGAACTAATTAAAAGTATATTAACAACATTACCACCATATGGCAGCTGCAATATCACAAGATTTCCAGTACCGTGTAGACTTTGTGCACCTGTCTCACGCTGCCTTTGTTATCTGATCTGATCATATGACCGTGTCCCCTGCTAGTCTCGTTGCATCAGCATCTGGCTGGGCTGTAATATAATAACTTAATAAAGGTATCGCACTGTGTTGTTGCTCTTTGCCTTCCGTGAACTAACTCAGCCCTGGCCTGCTCTGCTCCTGTCTGCCACTGTGGCTAGTCTTCATCCTCGGGGAATAGAGTATTGATCCAAACTAATGACTTCCTTCTATGGATGATGTCATACATCCCCGTGAATTAAACCTGGCTGGAACCGATCTTCTTATGACAGTAGTTAAATAATGTAGGTGATGGGGAAAACATGATGTGGCCTGCAGACCTTAAGCAGCCCTCTTCGCTCGAGCTCACAATCCATGTGTGTGTGCAGCAGCATATTAGTATGTTTGTGCGGGTGCAATGAAATTGTAATGTATCGGATGAGAATGGGGGTACGCTCGACAGCGGCTATACATCAACCGAGCAGAAGCGCTGGCTCAGCTGAACGGACCGCGGGATGGCACCGCTGCAGGTAGCAGGCTGTGGTTGATGA